AACATAAACAATGCTTCTCTCAGAAAACAAGACTTCATATCTTCATTTTATATCTCAAGTAAATATATCTTGATTTAAAGATCTGTAGATATTTGAACTGAAAGCAAGACAAAAATACTGAGGAAGATATTAATGTTTTGCAGTCACACAGTTTCTGAAAGCTGACACTCAAACAGCAGAAGTCTACAAAACCATTCACTAATTCTCAGCCTTTGACTCGGTTTTCAATTTCATAAAACACTTTTTGCAAAACACAACACACAATTCTCTGTGCAACACACACACATCTAACAGGAATTAATATTATGGCGAAGGTGTTTGCAAATGTTTGCTTTTGAGATCATTTTGCAAGAGATGTGAGGCTTTTTGCATTTTGTGTGTGAGATTCTTGGATTTGTGTGTGAAGTTTTGAAAAAAAGAAGCAAAGTTGAAAAACCTGTAGGAAGGAAGTTTAGACTTCAAGACCTGCAGAAACCCCGTGTCTTAAATGAAGACCCCTCTAAAACCTCAGAAACCTTCACTGGATCTCCTGTAAATAACACCTGTCTCTTCAGGGTTTTACGAGGTATCAGAGTTGTAAAACACGACTAAAAGGCTTGTGTGTTTAAAGCCTTTCACAGCCACCTGCAGAACATAAATCAGGCCTGACTCGCTGGATGTGAGCAAGACTCTGATAAAACAAGGATATTTATTACTAAAACCCACCTTTTCTGTCTTGGCTGAAGGTTTTCAAATATAACGAGCACTGCAAAAAAAGATTTTCTTCCTTAGTATTTTTGTCATCTAAAAATTCTAGAATCAGGATGCATTTACTTGACAAGTAAAATGACTTAAGATACTATGTCTTGTTTTCTGAAAATATTATATAAATTTTGTTAGTTTTTGCCTAAAACAAGCACAAATATCTGCCAATGGGGTAAGAAAAATAATCTTGTTTAGCCTTTAAATTGAGATGATTTTTCTAACCCCACTGGCAGATATTTGTGCTCGTTTTAGGCAAAAACTAACAAAATTTGGATAATATTTTCAGAAAATCATAAATCATTTTACTTGTCAAGTAAATGCATCCTGATTCAAGAATTTTTAGATGTTTACAAAAACACTAAGGAAGAAAAATTATTACTCTGACGTAATAAAACTGAGAAGTCATCACTTACTCACATCATGCTGTTACGCTTAATAAAAGGACATAATCATATCATAAAATATCCTTCTGTCCCCTCACTGAGGCAGAAGTATCAAAACTTCTGCTCTCCAGCCATCCTACAACATGCCCTCTAGACCCAATCCCCTCACACCTCCTCCAAGCAATCTCTCCTACACTTTTACCAGCACTCACACACATCATCAATTGTATCCCCCAATTGTAAGTCGCTTTGGATAAAAGCGTCTGCTAAATGACTAAATGTAAATGTAAATGTAAAACTATTATAAGTTAGTCAATGCACCACATGTGCAATATTCAAAGTATTACAGTCGTAGCAAAACTCTTGTTTAAAATCATTCTCGTTCACGCTTGTTTACATTCTAAAGTTCACATTTTCCTCGCTCTATGAATTTTCACAGTCATTTTAATAGGAATCCACGCAATTGGGAATTCTGTGAGAGGGCGAAAGATTTCTCTACGCAGATTTTGCCGTGAAAAACACGTTTTTTGCGTGAGCTGTGCTATTGACAATAGACAATTTTTGAAGATGCATCGTTAGGTGCATGACATGAGGGAGAGTAAATAATAGCAACTGCATTTTCGGGTGTATTTTCTACAATATAAACCATGTTTTTTATCATCTGAAATGTGCCTTAAATTCAAAAGCAACTTATATAATGCACTTAACATCAAGCAAGCAGAAACTGCATAAAGCACACACATTTAGATTTTTCTTCAAATGCATTTATTTAGGCTTGCCTTATAATAAATGTTGTTTATAATGTATGCCACTGAAATTTACATTTGTTTTATACTTATATATTTATTTTTTTCAATTTAAAGACTGGTTGTTGAGCAACCAAAACCAAGCAACTAAAATACATGTTTAAAGTGTTTATGATTGTAAACATCTTATTTACTGGTATTTGACATTATTTTTGAATGTAATAATAAAGTGTTTTTGTTTTCCAGAAAAACTGTGTTGGAGTTTACAATAAATGCTGTTTCTAATAAATGCCACTATAATTTTTCTTGGCTTTATGCTTATGTTTCTCATTCCTGTTATGAATACCATAGGACTGATTGTTGAGAAAAAGTGTTTATAATGTTTGTAAACATTTGATTTACTAGTATTCCTGAATGTAATAACAAAAAGTGAGTTCTACACCGATGCGACTTATCTGTGTTTTGCTGTCAACAATGCAATTTTGACCCAGTGTGACTTATTTTCTGGAAGATACGGTATGTGATTGCTAGCGCTTCTCGAAGCAAACGCTGCATGGTTGCTTTCTGAAACTCATCAGACAGACTCAGCTCTGCACCGAAAGCATGAAAATAACCTAGAGACTCTCTATTCACTGCACGTCTGCCTGCGCTTTACAGAATAAGGCTTGAATAGACAAGCTCACACATAGTGGCACACTGAGCTAATGACCTTCAATCTGAGCACGCTCTTATGTACACTTCCACAACTCTTACCCTGCGTATGCAAATCTTTTTGACGTCATTCTACCTTCATAAGAAATTGGACATGCAATGTTGAAAAGAAAGAATGGGAGCGAGAGAGAGGGGAAGCTTTGTTGCCTGAAGCTGAAGTTTTCAAAGGAACTCGGTCAGATTTAGAGGAGAAACCCTCCTCTGATCCAAGCGTCCATTCAGCGGGAATTCCTGCGTAAAAATGCTCCGGTTGGGCCTTTGGTTGATGAAAGCGTTCAGGCAAACAGGCTGCGCTGTGTCTTTCTTCTGCTGCTTCCTAACCACACACAAACAGAGCGAATCGAACGAACAGTGCAAAAAAAAAAAATAAAAAAAATGTAAATAAAAAACTAGAAAAGTTTTAGAATTAAAATCGTTAATGTTCTATACATTTACAGTCGAACACAAACATATATCGGTTGAAATTTTAATTCAAAAAATTAACTTTTTTTTAGTTTAAAATGCAAAATGTAACTGTTTAAATATATAATGCCTGTTTTAAAGTTTTAAATACAAAAAAAAAAAAACTAGAAAAGTTTTAGAATTAAAATCGTTAATGTTCTATACATTTACAGTCGAACACAAACATATATCGGTTGAAATTTTAATTCAAAAACTGAACTTTTTTTGTTTAAAATGCAAAAATGATTTATATGTTGAAATAATACATGGTTTTTAGGTTTTAAATACAAAAAATATTTAACTGTTGAAATACATAATACCTGCTTTTTTAAGTTTTATGTACAATAATTATAATGCAAAAATATTTATCTTTTGAAATACATAATTTTTAAGTTTTAAATGCAAAATGTAACTGTTTAAATATATAATGCCTGTTTTGAAGTTTTAATTACAAAAATTATAATGAAACAAATTTTACTTTTGAAATATATAATCCCTGCATTAAGTTTTAAACACACACACACAAAACTTGAAATGTTGAAAAACATTTTGTTTTGAAATATATAATACCTGCTTTTTAAAAAAAACGTTTTATCTACAAAAATTATAATGCAAAAATATTTACTTTTGAAATATATACCTGCTTTTTATATAAAAAGTAATTCCATATGCATCCTCGGCATCTGCATGAAAACGCAGTGTGTGTGTTTGTTCAGAGATCCTCCCTCGGGTTACTGCTCTCTCCTGACAGTGACCTCTAGGCTAAAGGTCACAGCCGTGCTGCCCTTGGCCTGCTCAGATGTTGGTCATCTGTGACCTCCTTCAGATCTGTGCTGACCTCCGAGCGCAGTGTGTTTAACAGATGATCACATGACGTCGTTACCAGCGCTGAGGAATGTTACTCTTAAAACACTGCGTGCTTCTTATGAAAATGTGTGTGTCCTTTGTGTGTGTGAGTGAGTGTGTGAGTGTGTGTGTGAGAGAGAGAGAGAGAGAGAGAGAGAGAGAGTGTGTGTGTGTGTGTGTGTAATATGAATAAGTTGAGGAAAACTTTATTTCTGAGGTAAATTTGGAAAGGTTTAGCATTTTAGCCATAGAAGTGTGTTAGATGCTTCAGACTTTGAGAAATTGTGGCTAGTTAGAGGGACTTTACATAAAGTTATGTAGATTTAAGTACATCTAATTTTTTCTGCATACACTCATGTAAAGCTATACAATACTTCATAGCAAATATTAAACTGCTTGATTGTTTATATTGTTGCAAAATGTAACTGTATTATCGTCCATCTCTAATCTGATAAATAAGACATGAAGATTTTAAGATATTCTAAACAATAACATCATGACTTTCTGTAAAGCTGCTGTGAAATGATGTGTATTGTCAAAAGCACTATACAAATAAGCTAGGTATAGTTTTGCTTTCAATCTGCAACACTTATATTAATCTAATCACTGTTAGCTGATATCATTAAAATGACATATGTATGGGTTTTAGGTTTTGGTCGTATGGCAAACCTGTAAACAGTTTAACTCAGAAAGTAATTGTCATGTTATAATAGCCACACAGTGGTGCTAGAGACCCTGATATTGATCTTTCATCGTCTTTTCCCTCCTCTTGCTCCAGTCAATGCTGTGGGAACTTCAGCACTCATCTGAATTAAAATGTGAATTAAACCAGAGTTTAAATGAAGCCTTCAGAACACGCACTGAATTGAAGCCAAAGCTTGTGATTGGCTGTCTGGCCTGTTAATGATTCGTTCAGAAATGCACATCAGCCAGAATTGAATTTTAAACCAATTAGTAGTCATGAGTAACAAAATAATGTGACATTCTCTTTCTATACGGATCTAATGTACTGTTTATTGACGATGTGATTGAAAGATGGCATATTGCTTTATCGCAGTATGGCTTTTAAAAACCACAGCAGTCCAGAACTGACTTACACAACTCTCTCTCTCTCTCTCTCTCTCTCTCACACACACACAATTCAGTCGTTGGCGCGCTCACAGAATATTCCCGCTCTTTCTGTTTCCATGGCGATGCGTTTGCCATTGGCGCCACCTGGAGGAATAGCGCGGGAACTTCCGCTCAACCGCCTTCTGTTATTCCTCATTTGTGCAGCAGGTGTCTCTCTGTGAGGAAAAACGAGGAAATGCAGCATCTTTAGTTCACAGATGAGGAAAAGAGATTCATTTACCACACGAAGAGCAAAAAAACGATCCAAATCGGATGAAAATAACGCGGTACTTTATTTTAAACCATCGAAGATGTAACCATTCACGCATTTTCAAGGTACGATGCTAACGATGCTAAGATCTATCCCAATGTGCATACTATCCACCCTATCTAAATAGTATTGAAAATTACTATCATCACATAGAATTTAGGATGGATAGTATGCATATTGGGACACAGGCTGTGTCTAAAAAGTATTATCATGGTCGTATAATCTAAAGAAGATCAAACTAAAGTTGTGGCCTGTGTAACGTAGGTTGGTGTGTTTGTAATGGCGGCGGATCCGGTTACAGCTCTCCGATCAGCTGCTGATCAGCTGGATTGATCCTGTGTCCGATCATCCGAACCGAGACATCACCTGAACCGAGTCATCAGCTGAACCGAGTCATCAACCGACTGAGGGCGGATTACAGCGCGAGCCTGAAGCGGCGTAATCATGGATGTGTTCGGCTTTCTCAATCTAAACGAACTCGCTCTGGGGCTGTCAAACCTCTCCATGTTCCCCTGCTTCGACATGGCGCATTATATCATATCAGTGATGAGTTTGAGAGAGCAGCCAGGTAAGAGAAATCAAACCGAATCACCTCTAATACGCTTTAGCTGTAATTCACCTGAACGCGATTCAGTGTCGGAATCAAATCCGAATGAATCTCTATCCGGTTCATCGGATTTATGACTCACTTCTGCACAGTATCTGAGCACTTGAAGGGTTTATAATGTAGTTATATTCTTAATCATTGTTTTATGTGTGCTTTGACAGGTTGTCAACACTTTTGACATGAACGTCTTTGTCCTCACATCACAAGAAATGTGCGTTTTCTGCTTGTATTTAATCAACAAATTTGTGGTAATCACCCGAGACCTGACATTTAATATGTTTTATGAATATTTGTCATGCATTTGATCGTGTTTTATATGTATACCAGGCAGGTAAAGCAGTGCTTTATAAATTGCAATAGGTGCACAATGAGGCTTCTGTTCTCGTTAGAATGCATTTGTTTATTTGATGCATCTAGAGCAGGCCAGTGTGTGTTTAAATGAGTGTGAAAGCAGAAGTTGCATGATCAAAGGCCAAAGGGAAGAGAAGTGCATTTAATCATTAACTCTCTGTCAATATTCTATCTCTGTTTTTCTCATAGAAGCATGCAAATGTGTGGTTAAACATGCATTTGCGCTGCATGCAGGGTGGAGGCACAAATTCGGGTCGTTTTGCATTAACCAAACATGCATTAACACGCATGCAGCATTTGCATTAACCAAAGTGTGGTTAGCCAGTGCTGAGATCAGCCTTTGCTCTTGTGTTGAGCAGTAATGCATGCATGTGCTCTATTGTATTGGCTGCAGCAGCTGCAGTAAATCGCAGGCTATTTTAGAGCCTCTGACCTGCGTGGCATCCCGCTCTCTTCTATTGTCCAGCACTTTACTGAAATATCTGGAGGGGGAATGAGACTCAACACGTCCTGATGTTTAGATCCAGCAGGAAGAGAGTCTCAAGAATGTTTTAGGTTAAACGTGTTTGTTTAACCTGCAGCATATTGACTCCTACACTATCCAGACTGACATCCAGTGCAACTAATTAACCTGCAGTTACTGTTAATAGTCTGTTTTCCAGGAAGAAAGACTGAAAGTGGTGTTTATTTTGTCAGTGTTTAGAAGTCCTCTAGCATATAGATGTAAGAAACTACAGGCAAAAACTTTTTTTTTTCTTTTTTTTTTTGCATTGATCAATTTTGTATGGAAGCCCGTTTCTGCCACTGAATAAAAAAAAGTTACTGCAACTTTTTAAGACTGGGGGTTAAGACTGATATGTTCGCAGAATTGCGAGTTTATGAAAAAAGAATTCTGAGGAAAAAAAGTCAGAATTGTGAGATAAAAAGTCGCAATTACCTTTTTTATTTTTTATTCGGTGACGGAAACGGGCTTCCATACTTTTGAGATTTTTGGCTCTCCATAATGTTTTTTTTTTTTTTTTCTCAGACTAAACATCCAAAAGACACATTTAAGTGTCGAAAATGCATATGTTTAAAGCCTGTGAGTTTTTTCTCCACTTCAGCATAACTTGCAAATAACAAAACTTATTTTCATTCCTATCTATATTCTGAAGGTTTTTACAGAGGGGTTTGTTCATACATCATTCGCTTGATTATTTGTTTTACAACACTTTATTCCTAAAACATGATGAAAAAGTTTTGATATTTCTGATTTGCGAAGTGATAAAAAGAGAAAACTCAAATCCCTTTGTAAAAACATTTTTGAACTGGATTTATTCAATGTTTAGATTTCTGTTCTACATATTTATGCAAATGAGTGCATATTTAATTAGATATTATTTATGCATAACATAATGGAAAACTGGTGAAATCTATTAGTTAAAGGGATAGTTCACCGAAAAATGTACATTTTGTCATTAATTACTCACCCTCATGTTGTTACAAACCCGTATTTTTGATGGAATCCAAGAGCTCTCTGAGCCTCCCATAGACAGCAAGGTAACTACCACGATCAAGGCCCAGAAACATAGCAAGGACATCGGTAAAATAATCCATGTGACATCAGGGGTTCAACCGTAATTTTACGAAGCTACGAGAATACTTTTGAGCACAAAAAAAAAAAACCCAGACTTTATTCAACAATTCGTCTCCGCCGCGTCACCCTGTTAGAGCCATTTTGGAGAATATCCACAGGACGTAAATTGCGTTTGCTATTCTGTGTCAGCTGCGTCATACGGATACGTTGTGGTCTTGAGCGCTTTGTTTTCTTTACAAAAATGTTCTGTGGCAGAACTATGGTGAAGAAATGACCAAAACCATGGTAACACTTTACAATAAGGTTCATTAGTTAACATGAACTAAGAATGAACAACACTTCTACAGCATTTATTAATCTTAGTTCATGTTAATTTCAGCATTTACTAATGCATTATTAAAATCACAAGTTGTGTTTGTTAACATTAGTTAATGCACTGTGAACTAACATGAACAAACAATGCACGACTGTATTTTTATTAACTAACTTTAATAAAGAGTGTAATAAATGTAGTGTTCATTGTTCGTTCATGTTAACAAGTGACACCTTATTGTAAAGTGTTACCAAAAACATTTGTAATGATATATTATACAGTTCGAGCAGTGTTGAAGGTCTTGAATAAGAATATGCATTATTTTATCAATAATATATTTTTATTAGTTATATATAGTAACTAATAATTAAATTTTTAATAGTCAAATATATACAAGGTAGTTTGAGAGTGTAGACAAGCTGAGCTATATTTCCATGTCCATGCAACTTCTGTGACTTCTTTTAAATTCATATTTTTATATTCAGTATTTTGCTATTTATTTTGGGCACCATATTTGAATTTTCTGGGTGATCTATTGCTACATTTGCCAAAAAGATGTGATGTGTGTGTATCCCACAATGCAATGCACTCTGCTCGACCTTCCATTTAAAATATGTAATAACTCTTTTTTTATTGGGCTTATTGTGAATGATTTGATACATATTTCATTTTCTAAAAAAAAACCGAATTGTAATTTGGAATCAAAATAACTTGATGTGCCAAATCTGTCACTACATCTGTTTCAGTGCAACTTTAAATCATTATTTGATCACACTCCCAAACATTAAAACATTTTTCTTAATAGAATTATTTATTTCTGAGATGATGACATGACGCCACTCACTGGATGTAATGAGGTCATGTGACAAACGTAATGAGAACAACAATGTAGCAAACCATTGTTTGAAACATTCTTCTATTTTGTATCATGCAATAGTTTCTGTTCACTTTAAACAGGATGGAACCACTGACAACAGCGTAGCAACCGTATAGCAACGACTCGGAACACCTTAGTAACCAATATTTTTTGTCAATATTTCTCATTTATGGTCATAAATGCTTGCAAAGGTTATAGTAGGTGTATTTTGCAAGGACTTTTGAGTTGTGGTCAAATTGATCTCCGTTGGTTTCCATGCAATTTGCCAAAAATCAACACTTTGAAAAACAGAAAATTTGTATTGCAGCCTGTCAAATGCTAAAATATGAAATACATGAGAACGTATTAAGTTTATGGCTCAAAGCTTAAATTTGAGACTCGAAATTGAGACTTGTCTTCTGAATTGTCCAAGGAAAAGTCTCTGTTTCTTCATCTAGTTGAGCTTCACTGTCATAAATATCTGTCAAAGATTGTTTTTGGTTGTTAGTTTTTTTTGGATCTCAATTACAATTACTACCCTATTACAGCACTAAAAGGAAAATTAATAAACTCACACAAAAAGACATGACAAAATAAAAGTTTGTTGTTCAAATAGCTATAAATGTTACGTACACTAAGTACAAATAATATTGCTACTTACTTGTAGTTATTGTGCAAATAGTCACAAAAAATATATATTTTTTTTTATTTCTTTTGTTTTAATTGTGTCTGTGCAGCTAATTTGACCAAATAAATGACTTGGAAATAAAGCAAAAAAAATTTAAACAAATAATAGATTGCAATTATTACATTTCTCATGGTTTTTTTTTTTAGTCTCTGACAGCTACAATAAAAAAAATTCTGTTTTTACATGATACTTTTATCTTCACTCTTTGGTGAATTTCATGCGAACCAATGTGGGTCAGTTTGACTCACAACACAGAAGTTGTACTCCATTTCTGAACACGAGGTTAAGAAAAAAGCCCAGACTGTGTTGAATCAGTGCTAGTTGACTGTATGTGTTCAGCTCTACACGAGAGAGCTCTGGAGTAATGCGCTGCTTGTGATGATCTTGCAGGCGTCTGCAGGTAGACAGGTACGTTTCTACAGCATGACTTTAACCCACATCTCATCTTGTGTTGTTCTGCTTCTGTGAGTGTGGTTTATCTGTAGGTAAACGTCCACTGGAGCCTTGCAACACACTGAGAGCATGACGTGTGTGTGTGAGTGTGTGAGTGTGTGAGTGGGTGAGTGTGTGAGTGAGTGTGTGAGTGAGAGTTGTGTGTGTGTGTGTGTGTGTGTGTTGATGCATTGCCTCGTATCTCTGATGGATTCGCTCTGCTTCGGTCTCGATGTCATCCATTCGCTGCTTTAGTGGCTGCATCATGTGATCAGAATGAATGCGACTGTCCTGTGAGCTCGTGTTGAGCAAGCGGTTGCATCACATGACCTGATTAAATCCATGAAGGCCGTGGCGTTTATTTGTGTTCAGAGGCGTGTTTGGGTGTTTAACAGGTCAGTTATCACTGCAGATATCAGGCCTTCTACATCTCAAGCAGTCGACTTTTAAACTGTCTCTTGAGCTCTTGTCAGTTTTGTGATTATATTATATGATAAACTAATTATTTTCCAGCTCGAATCTGCTAAATTAGACCAAAAGGCATGGAGATATTAAGATATTGAAAACATTATTTCATGTAATCTGCTTTGAAACCATGAAATTTCTAAATTGAGTGAATAAAACTGAATAAATAAGCTTAACACTGATGTATGGTTTGTTAGGATAGGACAATATTTGAAAATCTGGAATCTGAGGGTGCAAAAAAATCTAAATATTGAGAAAATCATCTTTAAAGTTGTTCAGATGAAGTTCTTAGCAATGCATATTACTAATCAAAAATTAAGTTTTGATATATTTTTACGGTAAGAAATTTACAAAATATCTTCATGGAACATGGTCTTTACTTAATATCCTAATGATTTTTGGCATAAAAGTAAAAATGGATAATTTTGACCCATACAATGTATTGTTGGCTATTGCTACAAATATACCCCAGCGACTTAACACTGCTTTTGTGCTCCAGGGTCACATATAGTATTTGTATTAGTCTAATTTAGGTTAAAATGTATCATTTTTAACCGCCTTTTGTCTTCACTATTCATTTGAAATGCAATATGACATAAATTTTTAAAATCACAGATATTCTATATAGCCTCGTAAATAATGTATGATAATAAAACTAATAAAATAATGTATGTATAGTATGTTACACTGCTCACCCTGATCGACATGAGTGATACATATTTGAATATTCATGAGTTTTAGAATTGAAATATTTGTATCTGAGCTCAAAACAGTAACACAGCGCTGCGCGATTAATTGAAATAAGACTTGAATCAGAAAATCCCTTTCTGTCAAAATAAAAGTTTGATGGTTTAACATTTCAAAAAGAAGATATTAAGACAGCCATAACTACTGTATTAGTATTGTAATTTTACAGTTGTAAGGTATTTATATTACAGTAAAATATTATAATGGCAATATTATTTTTATCATCGTTTTTTTTTTATTAAGTTATTATTATTATTAATATTATTATTACTGTTTTATTGATATATTGATATGTAATAACACAATTTTGGCCAAATTTTACAGCCCTCCAAAAACAAGGATTTTTTTTTAAATCACATTTTAAATCACAATCATAATTTAAAAACTGCAATTAGATTTTTTTTCTCCCCCAAATCATTGCACTCTAGATCATCCTCATTCATAGTCACGTGTTCTGGCTGATTGTCTCATGCTAATCTCACTCTAATCTCAGAGCAGAGATTTAAACTCCAGCACACAGTCACGTGATCATGGTTTATCTGTTCGTCTCAATCTGTCTGAGATATTCTGGAGTGTTTCTAAATGATGAACACTGACTCTTGTTGTGGTAATTGTGTTGTTGGCTGTAATGTCACATAACTGATGAAGATTGTTTTGCAGGAGCGCTGGAGGTCTCTCAGCGCAGTCCGTTTGCGTGTTGGTTCAGTTCGATGCTGTATTGTTTCGGTGGAGCCGTTCTCTCAGCGCTGATGATGGCAGATGCGCCGGTCGCACCACTGTCCAACACCACCAACCTGCTGCTCGCCTCACTCATGTGGTGAGACACACAGACACACACACACACACACACAGACACACACACACACACACACACACACACACTCACACTCACACTCACACTCACTCACACACACTCTCACTGACACACGCACACACTCACACACACACTCACTCACACACTCACACTCACACACTCACTCACAAACAAACACACACACTCACTGACACGCACACACACACACACTCACTGACACACGCTCACACACACACACACACACACTCACAGACACACACTCACTCACAGACACACACACACACTCACCAGTATCTTAAACACAATACACAACTGCACATCGTCCAACATTATAGGGACAAATGTGATTTACTGGAACATGATCGTACACAACACACAAACATGTCTCTATGCTGCATTACCAAGACTGAGGTGGTTAAAGAGTACAGTATCTTACACAATACACAACACAACATACTACATTACAGGGACCAATGTGTTTTAGAAGTACTTTAATAACAACTTACAATTGTGACATATAAACAAACAAACAAAAAACTTGAAGTGAAATCCACCAACTTAAAAAACATAGTCAATAAATGCTGCAGATGTGTAGAGAGACTGATTTATCTTTAAAGGAGTATTTCACTTCCAGAATGAAAATTCTGTCATCATTTACTCACCCTCCACTTGTTCCAAACCTGTACGAGTTTCTTTCTTCTGTTGAACACAAAAGAAAATATGTTAGTATCTGAACAGTTGATGGGCACCATTAACTTCCATAGTAGGAAAAAAAAATACTATGGAAGTCAACGGTGTGCCCATCAACATTCAGACACATCACAGAAATGAGAATATAGAAGTAAAATGTGTTTTATTATCATTAATTTAATGTTTTTATGTCCTAATTCTTCTAAAACAGGCTTAATTGTCTTTATGGATATTAAAATTCCTTTCTCTATTTTAATTTCAGGTTGAAAAATGCAAGTTTTAATGAGATTTGCCACACTATCTTTCATGAATCTTACGAGAAGCAAAACATTCAGACACATCACAGAAATGAGAATGTAATGTTTTGTCATTAAAATAGTCGCAATGCAAAAAATCTAAAATTATGCTAAATATACAGTTGAAACCAGAAGTTTACATACACCTTGCAGAATCTGCAAAATGTTAATTATTTTACCAAAATAAGAGGGATCATGCAAAATACATGTTATTGTTTATTTAGTACTGACCTGAATGAGATATTTCACATAAAAGACGTTTACATATAGTCCACAAGAGAAAATAATAATAGTTCAAAAGTTTACATCCCCTTGATTCTTAATACTGTGTTGTTACCTGAATAATCCACATCTGTGTTTTTTTGTTTAGTGATAGTTGTTCATCTAGTTTGTCCTGAACAGTTAAACTGCCTGCTGTTCTTCAGAAAACCCCCCCAACTCCCACTAATTCTGTGGTTTTCCAGCATTTTTGTGTATTTGAACCCTTTCCAACAATGACTGAATGATTTTGAGATCCATCTTTTCACACAGAGGACAACTGAGGGACTCCTATGTGACTATTACAGAAGCTTCAAATGCTCACTGATGCTCCAGAAGGAAAAAAACATGCATTAAAGTTGAAGATCAGGGTAAATTTCACTTATTTTGTCTTCTGGGAAACGTGTAAGAAAATAAGAAAAATGTACACATCTTCATTCTGTTCAAAAGTTTTCACGCCCCGGCTCTTAATGCATGGTTTTTCCTTCTGGAGCATCATTGAGCGTTTGAACCTTCTGTAATAGTTGCACACGGGTCCCTCGGTTGTCCTCATTTCGTATGATCCCTCTTATTTTGGTAAAATAATTAACATTTTGCAGATTCTGCAAGGTGTATGTAAGTTCTTTTCATCATTGACTGTTTAATTGTTAAATGAGAATCTGTCTTTGGGGTGTGTGTGTTTCTGAAATCTCTCACACTCATGTTGAATGTTGATCGCTGTCAGGATGTGACTAGTCCTCTGAACTAAACTAAACCACACTGACAGATCTCAGAATCATCCTTAAACTCTGACTGAGACTGCTCTGTGTTCATGATGTGACGGCGCCATTTAAAGGCCTGAAGTTAATATGCACACGCATGGAAATAAACAAGTTTTACTAAACAACTGCCGGCTTCATCGTTTGTTTTAGGTTTTTAATTTGTTTACAAAAACACTACAGTGGTGCTGAGATACAATCATAATATCAGATGACAAAACAATGATAATTTAATACATATTATGGTGCTGAATGTTTTAGTCATATACATGGTGATTTTTTTAGTGGTAATAATGTGATTTTTTTGTGAGAGTAGTATTGTTCGTTATATTTAGCTGACGGTTTTCTGCTGGTGAAACAAAGTAATCCACTGCCAATTATCAGGGAATATTAAAAACAGGCCTGGAAAGTCATGAATAAATCACAGTTCACTCACAGAAAATGTGTATAATAGAAGAATGTCATATATTATAAAGCAAATCAGCAACACTGTGAAGGAAAAGGTCTTACGCTGAAATGCATTTGAAAGTGGTTGTTTTTGTCCATCTTTCAGCGGGTCTCTGACATTTCAGAAAGAAATCATCATTCACAGGATGAGCACTTACCATAATTAATAGCCAACAGAACAAATTATGCTAATGGTTATTTAAACGAGCACTTTCTGCTGCTTTGAAGGACAGAGATGGGCAATTAGCTGTGGACTGACACGTGTGTGTGTGTGTGTGTGTGTGTGTGTGTGTGTGTGTGTGTGTGTGTGTGTGTGTGTGTGTGTGTGTG